ACTACAGTCTGGAGTCCATCCACATGAAACAATCCCCATCTCAGCTCCTGGTTTGATTGATTGTCCTTGAGGTCAGCCAGGGTTGTGAAAATATAGAGTAGAGATAGTTATAGTGGGCTGATGACTAATTTGGATGAGACCTCCACCCTGGAGTTCATTCAGTTCACAGTGTCTACAAGCTTATGGCAAAATGTACAGAAGAGAGAAGAATGGTTATAAAAGTTATATTAGACCTCTTTTTGTTCTAAAGGCAGAATTTACACCCTGACTGACTAGAAATTAATATTTTTTTGCTAGCATACAGTTGATATCCAGTGGCCCACTTCTATCTCCCACACTCTAATTCTACATTCATAGAACATTGTCAGCTGTCCAAAGACACAATGGTAATGGCAGGCAACCAGACATTCACAGAAAACAAGTTTCTACTTTACAAAATTCATAAAAGAAAAAAAGTGATAGCAGTCAGTATTATACCAATAGAGGAAGATGATGGACTTGTAAAAAGACTACTGTTGCATACAGTGCCATTACTTCCTTCTTTCCTCAAGTGACGTTTTTCAGATGCTAAGAAAAGGGGTCAGCTGTAATTACAATAATTACCATATTGCCATAGTTTTGCTCACAAGTTATGAAAATGTTGATTGTGTGTCTTTGCAGAGATGTGAGGTCAGAGATGAGGTACATTTTGCATAGTATTTTCCTACATTCATCTTCCAGTACACATCTTCAAGAGAATCATTAGTCAATTACTTTCATGTCAAGTTGCAAGTCCTGTTGTTCACAACTACCTGCACATCTGACTCGAGTTCTAGTCTCAAGTCTGCAGCTCTGTTCAGAGCAGCTCAAATGAAGAATAATTAACAGTATGATGCGCTGGCTGTCAGCAAGATCAGATTGAACTATTCTCAGAGCTGATCAATTCCCAGCCTCTCGTCACCGCTGCTGGTGGTGAGTGACTCAGCTAATTATAACAAGGGAGAGCATGCCCTGAATACTGTTTTCTCTTCTAGCTCACTGGCAGGGGGATGCAGCCACACTCCTACACAGGCACCGTATACACACACATAACACACACCCCCATTCAGTATGAGGTACACATTGGCTTACCAGCTATATAATGCTACAACCTGCACATAAAGGATCTTGCATAAGAGTAACGTACAACCTAAACATGTAGTATGGTGTGACCTTGTGTAATGATTCCAACATAAACTATGAATTACATTGGAACAAACTGTCATGTCTCACACACACGCAAACACTGTGTGTATATCATAGTCCACACAAACGAGTCACTGTTTCCACTGTATACCGAAACAATGCGTCTCACATAAACAAGCGACATACATGCATCATCACTATGATGGACTATTGTCAGGTAACAATAAACCATTTACCTTGCTCTGCCAGCCCATTCCCACAGTGACTGTTCATCCTGCTTTTTGAACTGGACAGAGTGAGAGGAAACCTGTTCCTGTGCCTGCTCGACGGCATGACAAACACACTTGCTCACAGAGATGCACATACATCACTCAGTTGGTGAGTCACCTTATTCATAATACGACCACTGCAAAAAGAAAGAATGTGAGGCCTAAAAATAACAAGCCATCATTCCTTTGAGATGTGCAGCTCATCCATATTTGGACGACCTGCAGAGACACGTTCACATGACCTTTTTCAGTCAAGCTGAGCCGAGCTGCTGCGACCTGGTTAAGTGTGTGACCTCTTGTGGAAGGAACTGTGTTGGAAATGTGAAAAGAAATGGTTCGGAACGGCATGCTTCTGTTTGGCAGGAGGGGTCGTGCAAAAGAGGCCAGCTGGTGCTCTGTGCTTTAGTGAACGCTCAGTGAGCCTCTACTGCAGCCACTCTTGTGCATGCTTGTTCAACATAAAGCAGTGGAAAAAGAGAACCCTTGCGCAACACACACATGGTCACGCGTGTGTGTGTGTGTACACACCGTGACAAACACACACAACATGCACATTTGTTATTACCTCACACCATCAGCTCAACTGCAACACTCATCATCACAGCAATGTATTTCAGACTGACTATATACTGTACTTCAACCTTCAATTCTGGTTCTTACATTCTTAAGTAACAGTTCATAGTTCACTGATTATCCTTTTTTTTTCAAGAATATTGCATAATTTTCACACAGATTGCACAGCACTGACTTGCTTGCTTGTGGTATTTGGGTATACAAGTAGTTTTAACCTGGGATCAGTGTCTCTGGGAGCCCAGCTGCTATGATGTTGTCTACAGAGTCGCGCTGGCATATTTTATGTGAATGCTTATAGCCAAGCACCATGAAGGCTTTATGGGGGTGAGTCATATCCACATAACAAACAGGCTCAGCATGGGAAAATATCATGGCGATGTTAAAGCTAGAGTTAAGGCTCATACAGTGAAGCTTTGTACTGGCTAGTTCGCACTAGAGGCACAACATTTGGAGAGCAAACACTTCAGGTGCCATACAGGAGGTCTGCGGAGAGACTGTTGCAGCTGGTAATAAATGGCAATAAGAGCGGAACGTTAAGGAACAACTGAGTCAGAGAGAGAGTTTTAAAGATCGTTAATTATTGTCCAAAGCATGTGTAAGCTGGGTGAGGCAGCCGTGATAAGTAGCAGATGATTTCTTCATTCCTCTCACATGCTCAGGTTTTTTTTTCAGTATCAGCAAAATCAGGAATTTCGAGATTCATGACACCATGACAGGCGCACGCGCGCACACACAAATAACATTAATGTTTGCACCTTAGGCCTATAGTTTCTGTGAAAGGTGATAAGCAGGCAGAGCTGAGCTAGAGTCGGTGCCGTTGATTGCTCAATGGTTGTGTCACCAGGAGGCTGGACTGGTCGGGTGGAGTGTTTGAGCTCTGAGCTCAACATCACCGGAGCTCACTCACTCTCTGCCTCTGTGAGTGTGAGGCGGTCTCTCTTTCTCTCTCCCTCCCTTTCTTTCTTTCTCATCTCTCTCCAGTCGGGACTGTAAGGGATTTTTTACCAAAAGTACACAGACCTCAGAGCCACGGGCATTCACTCTCCAAAAGGACGTGGGTTGGATTATTACCACACACACAAAAAAAACGCGCTGTCACTGAATCAACTGAAGTTTCATTTATATCTCAGCTATAATGAGTCTCACACGGAGGAATGGAGCGCACAGTTTGTAGTTTATTTTAACCATCAAAGGACGCGTCCAAAACAAGTCGGGGTCTCGTTTTTGTTTTCACGGACAATCAGTCTATCAGGATGAACTTGCAGTGGAGCAGCCCGGCACCCTGCATCCGCACCGGGAGAGTCGCGCACAAGCGGCTGGACTCAGATGATCAGCCGCCGGCTAAATGCGCCAGGCTGAGCGCAGAGGCGGGGGACACACAGGGACTCCTCGGTACTTCTCCCGGGTCCCCGGTCAGCCCCGTCTCAACCCCTATCCCGGCAACCCACCAGGGGCCATCCAGGATAGGACCGTTTCTGCTTCTACCTCTGGCGGACCGGGAGAGCATGCACAGCGCGATGAACACCGACACCGGCGATGAGCTACTGTGCAAGGTATGCGCAATCCCGTCATTGCGCAATTTCTTTGAATGAATGGTGTTTCAAGACACCGCGTTGCTCAATAGCCTGTCTGACATGTCATCAGTATTTAGCCGACCAAATGTCATTCTCACGCAAAGTGTGTCACACTGGCAGTGTTGCTTCATGATTTTTAAATCCTGAACTATGCCAGGCTCTTGATTGATTAAAATCGTTTATAAATAGGTCTACGTGAGAGACTAGGCAACCCCATAGCCTGTGCTGTGTTGTGGAAATGCAGTCCACCTACCATCGGCACTATGGCTTCACACTCTGTCAACTGGGCTCATTTGCATACACGTCACTGCAATCCGCCACGCCGTGGCACACAAAAATGAAAACATGTGAGACAAAGAAGGACTATCATGATAAGGATCTGCTCTGATAAGGACAGGGCCCTCCTATGTTCCAGACCCATGTGTTTATTGTGCGTGATAGACCTGCAGGCGTTTGGCTTTGTTGATTAATAAAGTTAATCGCGTCATGCTTTGGTGATTCATTTGTCACGCTCATGCAAAACAGTGTATTGAGCTGGAATCAAAGCATATCCTAAGCCTTTTTTTAACTCTCTGCCAAATTTGCATGGTTGTTTCCTCTGATGATCATTAAGAACACACTGACCCATTGCATCCTCCCCCTCTCACATTCTCTCTCTCTGCCTATCTCCCTTCCTAATTTCCATCCTGTCTCCCTCTCTCTTCTACTCTCCTCTCTCTCCCCAGGTCTTTGATATGGGGGTGTACCAGGAAAAGATCAGAGCCTACGGGATCCTGCCAGCCCACAAGAATGTGGCCAGCATCAGGGACATCATCCTCGGTGAGCGTAAGGCCTATGTGTTCCTGGACAAAGACTTTGGGGACATGCACACCTTGGTGAAGAGCTGTCGCAGACTGGATGAGGAGCACACCTGCAGACTCTTCCGTCAGGTGGCTCTGGCTGTGGCACACTGCCACCAGGCTGGCATCGTGCTGGGTGACCTCAAACTGCGAAAGTTTGTCTTCGCTGATGAAAAAAGGTGAGACGTGCATCCCTTTTAGCACTTTCAAGGTAAACAGATCTTGGTGCTCAGTGTCAGATGACACCTTGTTTAACCATCCACCCGTTCAGCATCCTTAAAAACAATTCTCAATTTCACAGAGTTCTAATAGTATCAAGTAACTTTATTTGGATGCTCTCAGACTTAAATACATGCAGTGTAGTGGGATGTGCCAGTGAAGGCACAGAGAAAACATGGCAGCAGCTGATACACACAGGCCATTTGTGCAGATAGGGATGTGGGCACAGATAGAGTAGGAGGTTCTGTACTTGTGGAGGCAGACTGCATTGCTTCCCAGATTTTCGCCCTCTCTGTCTGTCTCCCTTTCTCGCTCTCGATGTGTCTCTTTGTATGCGGGTTGTGCGTTTGTTTTGCATGCGTGTGTGTATGTGCATGTGTGAATGTAGTGGGTGGTAGCTTGGCAGAACTGCTAGACGAGGCTGTTGAATGAGACAATCATCCCCTTCTGCGTTCTGTATCTTAGAATGTATTTATTACTCATTATTTATTAATACATTACATCATAACTATGCTGCAGAATAAGCGAGGCTCCCAACAAGGATTCATTCAAATACACTTCCATCCATGAAGGAGTAGTTCAAAGCGCTTTGCTTTGAACTGGCTCCCACACACTCCCCCACACAAACACAAATTCCTTAATGTCTGCATCTCTCTCTCAGTGCTGCATTCTGTTCAGTAAGATACACAAAACCCTGCTTACAAAACTATTTGTCGCCTCTTTGCCCTTGCGTCACTCTCTTTCCTGTAAGCTACACAACCCCCCCCCTCCGGCTTTCTGAAGCCCTTTTTCGTGGAGACTTTTCAACAGTAACATTCTCCAGCCATGACCTCTGGTTTTGCAGGGTCAAACTGGATGAATGAGAGCAGACAGCCAGTGAGAGAAGTTGAAGTTGGTTGTTTCCCTCTGAAAGCTATACGGCTGCAGAGCGATGAATCACAGTATATATGTGAAGAGGGGGGGGCTGCGTAGCTCATTTTCTTTCTTTCTGTGTGTGTGTGCGTGTGTGCATACATGCATGTTTGTATATGTGCTGATTAAATATTCAGAGCTGTAAAGCTCTGGTCCCTCAAATGCCTTTTTGTTATCTGGGTGGCAACATTGCAACATTAATGCTGGTAGACTGACCCACTTGACCCTGAAGTTGTGGGTGACATCTTGTTTCCTAACACTAACTTCTCTTTACTCTTTGGCTGGTGTCATTGGGTAGGGCCACCAAATGATTTTACTGTGATGTGACGGGAAACACAAAGCAGCAGATTTTGCTGATAGCATTAGATAGTTGTGTGACGGTGTGTGTATCACGGAATTTGGCTTTTCATTTGCCAAAAATCATTTTTCCACACCCTGAGTTTGCTGCCTCTGTCCAGTCACTGAGAAGTCTGCTTGAAATGTTGTGATTCTGTATCACCTCATTTATTCCGTCAAACATTCTTCTAAATTCACAATCAGGCATCTTTTAAACCCCAACAATCACGCCGTGATGCAATGTCCTGGCCAACAATGCAACACTCAAGCCAGAGCCAGAGAAAGTCACAACAATTTGACAAATGCTATCTGCATTCACACACACAGACGCGCACACTCACACACACAGTGCAGATGGAAAAGACAGTTTAGGGAAGGTGACTAGCACTATGAAGCATGCAGAGCTTCACTGCTGGGCCAGCCTTCCCGTGCGTCACTGATGTGGCAACAGCCATTTGAGGGTAATTATGGGATGGCTGGCGCCACAAGTGTGGGACCCAGGTGCAGATAGCCTCGGCTCAAGAAAGAGAGCGAAAGAGAGAGGAGGAGAAAAGATATGTACTCTCAACAGCAGGATGAGTCACTCTCTCCACCCCTCTAACTCTCTCTGTTCTGTTTCCTTTTCTGTCTCCAGCTCTTCATTCTCCTCTCCTGACTTGTCTCCGCCACTATCTTGGTGTTTAAATATCTGTTGCTTTCTATCTTGGTCCTTCTAGTTGTCATTCTTTTCATCCTCTCTCTGGCGGTCTGTCTCTCTCTGCTGCAGCCACTCTGTCTGACAACTGAAGTGTCTCACGGACTCGACCCTCTGAACGTGAGAGAAAACAGCACACTTCTTATGAGTGTTTGTGCATTTGACTTGATAAAACCTCAATCACCGTGTTAGTCTTGGGGGCCAATCTCCAGAGGCACAAATTAATTCTTAATTAAAAACATAGCACGCCTGTTGCTGGAGAAAATGAATCACTGTTGAAATCCTTTAGTAATATTTTTCTGCCGTTGGAAACAGCAAAAGTTTGCCATCATGCTTTTTATCTTTGTCCCATCAATAATTTTTTAGAGCGTTTCAGTGGTAAATGTCTCATTCTACAAATAAACTCTCACATTTGCTCTGATGCTGGACTAAATGTATGTCCTGTCATTAACATGGCTATTATCTCATCTAACTGGCAGGAAGAAGGGGAATACACATACGTTATTTCCCAAATTAGATAACTATTTCCTTATCATTAAATCATTCCTGAATGACAAACATACAACTTCCTCACACACCTTCCCACAACCAACTCCCTTCTTAAAAAAACTCTTCAACCAATGAGATGGCTATTTAGGATTGTGTGTGTGAGTAGGGGAGGAGGAGGTTGCAGGAGTTTCATATTTATATTTCATATTTATATGTGTTTATGTGAGCATGTGTGTGCTGGGAAGCTTTGCTTAGGCAGCTATGCTTCTCGGGATTCACTGTTGTGCACTTCATAGGTCATAGTAAGTTCACTGGTGTCTGGTGTGTGTGTGTGTGTGTGTGTGTGTGTGTGTGTGTGTGTCCGTCCATCTATTTGTCTGCCGCACAGCTTAAGGCTAAAGGAAGGATGCTTGTTTTTCCATGATGCCATCAGTGACTTACATTTAACAGATCTCTAAGATGTTTGACAGTGTTTAACAAAGCCACTGTTAGAAATAGACTCACATGCATGCGCGCACACACGAACACACACACACAGTGTTGTACTAGATCAAGGAGCGACTTGAGCTTTAAATATTTTTGTACATGGGAACGCCGAGAACATAACTTTCCAACAACAGTGTGACAGCAAAAAAATTTTCTACTGACATGTGGGGGGGGGGGGGGGGGGGGGAGTTATTAGGTTTCACCACAATGTGAAATGTTGCTTTCCATGTAAGATATTAGATACCGTCACATCTCAGTCAGCGCTTACCCAATTTACAGTGCAACTAAAGCACATACCTGCAGTTATAGAAAGGGGATTCTCACATGTTTTTTTGAATAATAGCTGCTATGTACTAAAACAAAACATGTTGTCTAAGCCATTAAAGATCTTTTAAAATGTCCTGACCTAATTTTGACTTTTTCTCCATAGGACACAAGTGAGACTAGAAAGCCTCGAGGACTGTCGTGTACTAGAAGACCCTAACGATGACTCCATGTCAGACACCCACGGCTGCCCCGCCTACGTCAGCCCAGAGATCCTCAGCAGCTCTGCACCTTACTCTGGCAAGATGGCCGACATGTGGAGCCTGGGGGTCATGCTGTACACCATGCTGGTTGGTCGCTACCCCTTCCATGACCCAGACCCGGCTACACTGTTTTCCAAAATCCGCAGAGGCCAGTGCTGTTTGCCAGAGGGCTTGTCGCCCAAGGCCAAGTGTCTGCTCCAGAGCCTGCTGAGGAAAGAACCCTGGGAGAGACTCACAGCGACTGAGCTGTTCACTCACCCGTGGTTCCACCGGCCGCCCTCATCGCGGGAAGTGGTGCTGGGTGAACAGGAAGTGACTTCGGCGGAACAGATGGTGCCATCGTTTGACGTGGAAGAGGATGATGATCTGTTCTGCTGACGGACTCGATTTAGCTGAGTCTGGCTGAGGGACCAAAACAAAAATTGCTACGAGGGACTCGTTGTTGTTTTTTACATTGGCACTTTTTAGAAACCTATTTGTGTACTGTTGAGTGTACATACACCCTCAAGCTTTCTAAAAAAACTTACTGTACTGTATTTTGTTGTTGTAAGTGTGTTACTTGCTAAGGGCATTGTTCACAATGATCGTCATTGTGTTTCTATATGTGCGTTTTTGAAATGATTTGGTGCTAAAAGAAATAGGACTCCGGATTTGCCAGGTAATATTAACAAAATGAACTCTGCAGGTTTCTTTGACTATATCCCAGAACATTAACCCATGGCAAACAATAGTCACCAATGCTTGCTCTCAGCCTGGACTCACAAGACAACATTAGATGAATCGCGAACGGGAGGCGAGGAGAGCGGGATGTTGTTCCTCTCACTCTCTGACCAATCTGGAGGCCTCAACGGCTGACTCACCGATCGGCTCGAGGAAGGCCTAGTGCAAGCTTGATGTCTCGCAGCAGGCGGTGTCATAGAGTGAGAAAGATGGTTAGCAGAGGACTGATGTGTCACACTCAGCGGGGACGCTGCAAAGGTGTTTCACTGCCAATCTGGCAATGTCTCAGCAAATGGAGAGCATTTACAAATCTCACACCATGCACAGAAGGTTGAGAAAGGCAGGGTGTTATTGATGTAAGACGCACAGAAAAGTGGGCAGAGTTTGTCTCTAATACACACACACACACACTCAACAATAAGCAGTGGCACTGGGCTAACACAAGTCTTTGTATATGGCTAACAGAGAAAGGTACATCTCAAAAACGTTCTCATTTTCAACAGTTAAAACTGAAACAGTTACCTTTTTAAATCATGCTCAAAGCTGAATATGTCATATAAGGGTGGAAGTGTCTGACCCTGCAAATTTTACTTAATCTGTTCGGCAATGCTGTGCGTGCAATTAGCCACAGCTAAACCTAACACTAATTCTTCTACTTTAAAATGAAATGCTGGAAGGAACTCGGTTTTAAACACTTCACATGTCTTTGCAGCAACAGAGATGGTTGATTCATACACCTGAAGACGAGCTACAGTAGAACTTACGTGGACAAATTTTTTTAAAAATCCACAGAGAATTCAGATGGTACTTCCTACTGACTCAATATGAATTATCTCCCAATTCAACAATGCTTGTATTTTTTAAGAAATGTCTTAAGGAACCCATTACAGAAAAATGAAGACTTTCTCAGTTGAGCAGTTAAACCTGTCTTGTTCATTTCTGTTGGAACATTATGTCAAGCTGTGTTGCTTTAACAAAGCTGAGTTGTGCTGAGTGTTGCGCCCGTATCACTGTGTTTCATAAACTGAATGGCTCTGAATCAGTCGCAGTCAGGCGATATTCGATGTTGGTTGTCTGATGATGACTCAACACTCGAGTGTGTCTGTAGAGAATGGTCCTGACCTTGGCTGGAAGAATCTGTTCTGACTGTTTCACCTCTTTAATGGTACTTTTTTCATTCTTTCTTTTTATTTTTTATTTTACTGGATGGAGTCATCATAGTTAGTGGCATTATGTACCACATCTACCACGTTCTAAAAGATATTTTATCTTGGATCATGACATGCGGATATAGCGCTTCAGTGACGTTTAGTCTTACTGTAGGTCTGCAGCCAACTATTTCATTCTGGCACAATTATTTTGACAACGGTACTAAATCTGGCATATCTGAGAAGCGCTGTACATTCAATTTTTGGGTCACACAGTCGGCGAATAAAACGTCTGTTGCGGATCTTTAATTAATTTCTCTCATCTCATCTCAGCTTGAGATGCCAGATGGGAAAAGACTTGTGACAATCTGAATTGTTCCTCACAGAAAAGTAATTTAATAAATTGATTTATGGTTTTGTTTCTAGTACATACATGTAGAGTGAGTCACACATTCATGTGACATGTAGAGTAAACTGACACGGGTGCACAAACTTCATATTGCACTGTGAATTATGTATTTGTGACACAACCTATAGACTATTATTAGTCCAGACAGGTTACACAAGAGATATATTCATTGTACAAAAGATGTAAATATGTATATTTGAAATATGTGTGGAGATGTGTTGAATAAAGATCACATTTTTTTCATTATTTCAGTACTGCTGCTTGTTTTGTTTTTTTCTCTCACACACACACACACATACAAACACCTGCACATTACACAGCTCGACTGCATGCCTCGAAGGTGTTCCTGCAAGAGTTCTTTCCACGCAGCTCTTCATCACCGTGAGAGAAAACAATACATTTTCTCATTTTCCTCAGCCCTTTCAATTTCATCCTTGCAAGGGAAATAACTCTCCCTCCCTCTTCATCCCTGCCTCTAACCGTTTACTTTTCTCTGACCTTTGCGTAATGTAACATTTAACTCCTCAAACACACAAATGTCAATAGCGGGTCAGTGTCTTTTCCTGGAATACACAAGGGGGAGCTTATACGCCACTCTTGTTCTTTTTTCCTCAGAACTTGTAGTCAACTCATCAAACATTGAACACCAGCACTATTTAAACTCAAATACACATATTATTTTTTTATCTCATCCACTTCTGCTTGTGAGTCATTGTTTGACCTATAAGAGCTTGGCATGTCTCCACCGTCTGTGTGTTATGACTACCCCAGGCATGGCTGGCCAGGGCTTGCGTAAGCACTGTGTGCGTGTTCATGCGCATACCAGCCTGCATGCGTACATTTCTGTGTTTGTGTGTGTGTTTGTGTGTGTGTGTGTGAGCACAAGAGTCAGATTAGGAATCAGGTTAGCTGGAATGTCTCAGCTGCTGGGAAGCTGCCAAACCAACAATTGCCAGAGTCGGGCTCCTCCAGGAATGACAACAGGGCCCCCAAAACTAGTCATTTCAAGTAATGGATATCTAAAGAAATGTGTTTGTGTGTGTGTTTGTGGGCTTGTTTTACTGTGTGGGGTCCAACAGCCTTGAGGTGTCCAAATTTCTAAAAGTTTAAAGGACTGTTTTATGGTTAAGGTTTGGTTTTAGGGTCAGGGTTAGAATCTAGTTAAGGTTAGGGGTAGGGTAATGGTTAAGGTTAGGCATGTAGTTGTGATTGTTAAGTGTGTGTGTGGGGGGGGGGGGGGGGGGTTGAAGAGTTTTTTAAGAAGGGAGTTGGTTGTGGGAAGGTGTGTGAGGAAGTTGTATGTTTGTCATTCAGGGATGATTTAATGATAAGGAAATAAGGAAATAGTTATCTAATTTGGGAAATAACGTATGTGTATTCCCCTTCTTCCTGCCAGTTAGATGAGATAATTGATACCACACTCTATAAGAAGATGGCAGGCAGTTAGTATGATAAAAACTGGACACAGCCAAAGTCATGACGGCTATGAGGGATAGAAGTAACAAAATTTAATTGATCAAAATGGAGGTTGTAAATGCATGGCAACTGAAAAATAGGATGTGAAATGAAAAATTGACTGATAAATTATAAAGTGGTTTGATTAATTTAAAGCTGATTTTATTTAAACAGTTGTGATATGATGTTTTCAGAACAGTTTCCCCCTGTTCCCAGTCTTTGTGCCTAGCTAAGCTAAGTTATTTGGCTGCTTGAGATAGCCATACAGCAAGAGACTGAATTATCATATTTTCAGTGTAAACTCTATCCTTGCTTTTTATCCAGGATCATTAAAGTTCCCAACCACGTAAACCTTTAAATAACAGACAGTTCACAAACATCCTCATGACGTGTTCTCCCTCGTAGATGGATGTCACAGAAACCCGGTGTGTCATCTGATATTTCCTTGATCCTCCGGAACCTCATTTGATAAAATAAAAATAACAGAGGAGAGTCTTTGCTGGTATTTCAGGGGATGTTTCTAATGTTTGAAGGTAAAAGATAAAATGAAGTGCCAGAGAAGGTAGAAGATAAAATCAAAAAACAGTAATGCTACAGTCACATTTATTACAATATATCATTGAGGAATTCAAACTATTTAGGTGAAAACTATGTGGGTTGTTTTTGCCCTTCAACGTGGACCATACAGGAAAAAGGTGAAAGGTGAGCGTCACCCTGCCCTGTTTTTCCCTCATAAGCAACACAAGGAAGTGAAGAAGCAGATCTGAGATTTAGCAGTAAAGTACCTGGTTGAGTGTCCTCTCTAAGGTAATGTTAAGTATTTAGCTTCTTCCTGGAACTCTTTGGCACAGGCGAGCGCTCAACTGATGCAATGGAAACAGCCTCATCTGTTTAAATGACTCTTTGACCTGATTTATTTCAAAACCCTGAAGGAATGTGAGTTATTGTGTTAATCATAGTTCAGCGAGGCACTTGAATAATTGTAATAAGGCTAGTATTTTATATTGGACTGAAATCACAAAGGCATACCTGGAATTCATTTGAATGAAGTTATGTTGTGATCTCTGCTGCCATCTTGTGGAGGTACATCAAACTGCAGCTTCGAGGCAGATAGCCTGCATGGCAGATGTCCATGTAGAGTAAACAATTATTATAGCCTACTAAAACACTTTTTATTTTTTGAGGAAAACTTGCTACCAGTTTTATGATAAGACATATGAGAATAACAGCTTATAACAATTCCAGACTTGATGGATAATCAGTATGGGCTAATTATTTTTAATACTTTCAATGAATAATTAGTAACAGCTTTAATTGCAGACCTTTTAAGATAAGAAACAAGTGAAGAGGAGGTTTTGTGGCTCTGGTCTTACCTGTTTGGTAGCATCTGAAAGTTGCTGGACGTCCCCCCAGATCCATATCCTTCATATATTAAGAGTTTATCTTTTGTCATCCTGATTGTCATAGGCTAACTGTAATTTTACCATGATCCTGTCGGCCTACACATGACATCTATTTCCTGTCCGTCCTGGGTGAGGGAACTCATCCCGATTCTCTGTTGCTCTTCTTGAGGTTTCTTACATTTTTCCCCCATTGAAAGGGGATTTTGGGGGAGAGTTTTTCCTTAAGTCTATCTGAATCTGAACAAAAGAAAATGCTACAGAAAATTAGCATAGCAATTCTGTCTCAATGCCGAAATCAACCTTTTTAAAATGCTGAAGCAAAAAATAATTAAGAAAATAAATCAGTTACTTTAATAATAGATTTTTTAGATGAAATGCCAAACATTATCTGGTTCCATTTTAAATGTAAGGAATGGCTGCCTGTCTGTATGGCTACTATAAAATTAAATATCTTCTAGTTTTAGCCGAGTTCAGCCCCGACAAAACGTGGCAAGGGGTTAGGATTGCTTTGTTGCTATGAACGCCCTGTTGTGTAGGCTGCGCAAGCGCAGTGCACTTACCCGCTTTTTTGAAACAGGAGTATCTATATACATATTGCTGCTCATTGAGTAACACCTGTGACACAGCCACCAAACCGGGGAAGGACGTTGCGCAACGTTGTACACAGTTTCGACCAAACATGTCATTCAACCCGAAACCGTACACACCAGTGCAAAATGTTCTGAGATTGCCCATGAAGTTGTCACTTCGGACTTGGAGTTTTCTTGTAAACAAACAAAATTCATGCTTATGCTCTGCGTTTCTCACCAAAACACACTGTGTTAATCATTAAGGTCTAACAAACATGTTGAATGCACGTCCTTCTTCATCAAACAAAGCCAATTCTTTTGAAAGTTTTGAAACCTGCATTGTTTACATCATAGACTGTATTAAAGAAAGGTTTACATCCATGTTTGCTAGTCTTCTACTTCACTGCCTTTGTTGGCACTTTTCTGCCCACCTGTCGATCAGTGAAACAGTGAGAATATGGAGGACTGATCCTGACAGATTAAGAAATGAATACATAAACAAATAAATGCTCAATAAATAATCTGATTAAATGCACAAAAAATAAAGTAACTAAATAAATGTAGGCAGTAATTCAATTATACAATGAGACATAAATGTATATATATTTTTTAATTAGCTTCTTTATTTATTCACTGTTATAATAATTACATTATTTATTTATTGTCCATTATCATCTTCAACTTTTTTATTAATTAGGCCTACTTCTTTTTTAAATGTATTTATTTATGTGTGTGTTTATTATTTTTGTCTTTGTTTTATTCTTCCTTTGCATTTCTACCTACTATTTATTTCCCCTGGTATTTATTTCTGCCTCTCCCTTTTGGTGGACCAGTCAAATGGCAGAGGACTCTACCTGCATACAAGCTTGCTCCTCACACAGTCAGATGGCTTCCTTCAGTGAACTGAGGTGTATAGCAACTCTGTTTGAAGACAATACTACATGTGGACGCTCTGACAGACAGTGTTTCAGTTTGCGGCATGCACGGACACAGAACTGCAGTAAAGGGAGCCGTTGTTCGTGAGAAACACACAGTCAGCTAGTAGCAGCTAAATCTGGAGTGCACTTGTATCCGACCCTGTGGTAAATTCAGTTTGAACCAGTGCTTGAAGTGGGCCGGAACGCACTGGTACGTAGTACCGGCACATCAACATTGAAAAAATGAAAAACTGCAATAAGAAATGTTGAATAACAAATGAAACAATGCACAATAAGAAAACATGCAATGCAACTGAAATATAGACTAAACAAATGTGCATTGTCCAAAAGCTGATTACTGCATTATATTCCAGTATATCATTATATTTTGAATTGTCACACCTGTCACCTTAATTTTATTTCCCTTCATATAAATACATATAAGACATTTCCTCCATAAATTGGTACAGAAAATGTGTTCAGAATGCAGGAAATTAAGTGGTTAATGCGCAAAGTCATTACAGTTTTTCTCAAATGCTAAAACACAAAAGCCAATCCTCTAAACCAAATGACCAGTTGTCTAAACACATTTACTAAATCTAGCCATCATTTTCCAATATCATAAACACATTTCACATGAAGACACAATTCACAAAACACAATCCTCCGTTCACATAAATCTTAACACATTTTTCCTTGCTAAAACACAAGTTGCAAAAGAACTCTGCTCATATTCTCAAATGAAAGCTCATGTGATGCAAAATGCTTGCCACAGTCAGCAATATTTGAACAAAATGAACACACCTGGCGTCATTCATTACACACAACGATTCAAAATTGAAAACACCTGTTGCTAATGCTGTGACCACATGTATAAAAGCAAGTTCAGAGTGCACAGTTTGCTGAAGATTCCAAACAAACACAATGGATGAAGGCAGAGTCAGGGGAAGAGGTAATCGAGTCAGAGGAGGGAGAAGAGCAGGCCAGGGAGGAAGAGGAGCAGGCCAGGGAGGAAGAGGAGCAGGCCAGGGAGGAAGAGGAGCAGGCCAGGGAGGAAGAGGAGCAGGCCAAGGAAGAAGAGGAGGAGGCCAAGGAAGAAGAGGAGGAGGCCAACAAGGGAGAGGAGAAGGTCCAGGAGGGAGAGCAAGACAACCTCGCACCATCATTACGGACGAGATGCGAGCAACAGTCATTGACCATGTCATTGTCCATGGCATGACAATGGCTGAAGCAGGACTAAGAGTCCGTCCAAACCTGAGTAGGTTCACCGTGCCCACCATTATCAGGGCATTCACACAACACAACAGGTATTGTACTCTATTGCTTTCTTTGTCACAATACAATTTTACAAGCCTGTGAAAGTAGTCTATTAGTTTCAAATCAGTTGTTACTGTATTGTAAAACATGTCAATTGACAACACGTTTCTTTCTTTAGAGTTGAAAGAATGCCACATAGAGGTGGGAGGGTTGCCATATTTACAGCGGCACAAGAAACCCTCATTGTGGATATGGTTCGTGAGAACAACCTCATCAGACTCCGGGAGATCAGAGACAAAGTCATTGCCGATAATGTGAACTTTGAGGGCATTGATGATGTCAGCTTGGCCACAATAGACTGAGTTCTCCGGCGCCAAAAGATGCGGATGAAACCAGTCTATAGGGTTCCCTTTGAGCGAAACTCTGCACGACACAAAGACCTACATTACGAGTATGTGCAAGTAAGTATACATCCATGTTCACAGTACAGTTAGTGAACATACTGTGTTGCTCAGTGGCCTACATTACTTCTGGACAATACTATGCTACCTGATTGACTGTTGTTCTGAACACCTGTGCACTTTCACATTTTCAGAGGATATTACAGTTGGACGCGATGGCCAGACCTCATGAGTACCTCTTCCTGGATGAGGCTGGCTTCAACCTGCAGAAACGAAGGCAAAGAGGCCGTAACATCATTGGCCAAAGAGCCATCACTGAGGTTCCTGGCCAACGGGGGGGGGGGTAATATTACTCTTTGTGCGGCCATGGGTTTGGAGGGGCTTGTCCACCAGCAGGCTGTCCTTGGGTCTTACAACACCCAACGTCTCCTAACCTTCCTAGAGGAGCTAAAAGATATCCTCCTGGACCGCCAACAACACCATCCTGGGCCCGAACATCCCATTTATGTGATCATTTGGGACAATGTACGCTTCCACAGAACAAACCAAATCAGAGAGTGGTTCACCACCAACAGTAACCACTTTTTAAACGTCTGTCTGCCACCCTACTCCCCTTTCCTGAACCCTATAGAGGAGTTCTTCTCATCGTGGAGATGGAAGGTTTATGACAGACAACCATACACTAGAGAACCTCCAGTGGAGAACTTCCAAGGATGGATCCGCCATTCCAGGGCGTTTTTCCCGCGGTGCCTGGCAAGAGACAATATAGCCTGCGATGTGGATGAGGTGATGTGGCCCGATGCAGCTCAGCGACATGATGCCGCACAGTGATTGTGGTGTAAATAAAATAAATAAAAAAAACTTCACACCCTGATCATGTTTTCAAGAGTACTGTTGTGTGCAATAGATTCTGTTTTTGCATTGAGTTGTTACAGTAGTGTACAGAATTTACTATAGATTTATACTCTTCATATGAAACTCACAAATCTAAATGCCCAATCCTCTGCAGAGATCTAAGAAGATCCATTATTGTAAAGTTTCTAAAAATATGCATTGGCAGTTATGAAACAAAGAACCTTCTCACAAATTGAGCATTGTGTTTTCAATTGTTTTGCTGTAGTGTGTAATGATGTGTATAGTGTTTACATTTTTGAAAGCTTCGAGCTGCTCTTTTGGTGTGAAAGTTTGAGTTTTGAAGGGAGAAGGTGTGGTTGTGTTTATGTAGCTTTAGAAAAGGGTGTTGTGTTTAGACATTGGAGAACATGGACGAAACGTTTGTGAAATGTGTTTTAGCATTTGAGAAAAACTGTAATGTTAATAATATTTACTAGTTTCACATACAACATACTTTATCAAATTATGTCGACTTTATGAAATTAGCACAAAGAGATATGACACAACATCAAAATAAGGTGTTAACGCAACATATACAGTATGAAAATAGGATTAATTGGATTATATTCACAGGAAGTATAAAACATGTTACATGTGTCCTTTAAAAGTGAAAAAAACACTAAAATGTTAGGAAAATTACTTTATTCTTTCATTTTGGTTTTCTGGGAAAACATTAAATAATTCCTGTTGATGACTAGTCTATCATATTTGAGTTCAGGGTAACTATGACTACATAAAGATTTGAAATCAAGCATTTTCGGCTGGTTGTATTGTATTCAAATAGAGTTGCTAAACACTTTAATTCACTGAAGGAAGCCATCTGACTGTGTGAGGAGCAAGCTTGTTGATAAAATCAACCTCTGTGGTCTGACTGGTCCACCAATAGGCGAGAAGTTTTTCCCTTGAGACACAGACCCTCCTCATTTGCATAATAAGGCAGAAATACATAGAGAAATGTAAAAAGAGCAGACAGAAATAAATACCATTGGGGAAATAAATAGGGTAGAAAATGCAAAGGAAGAATAAAACAGACAAAAATATTAAAAAGCATACATAAATAAATACATTTAAAAAAGAAGTCATTAAATAAAGTTGAAGATTATAACGGACAATAAACAAATAAGGTAATTAATACAAAGGTGAATAAATAAAGAAGCTAATTAAAAGAGATATATACATTTATGTCTCATTGTATAATTTAATTACTGCCTACATTTATTTATTAACTTTATTTTTTGTGCCTTTAATAGGATGCTTATTTATTTATTGAGCATTTATTTATTTATGTATTTATTTCTTAACAAAGGATCAGTCCTCCATATGAGAAACCCCTGGCAGGAATGTGTATGGTGTCACCCTGGACATCCAACAGAACTGGGACCCACTCATAGGTCGCTATAAACATTGCTTTGTCTACTACTAGTGGTCCAAAACTCCACATGGTGGCCTACTTTTAAACAAAAAAACTAATCAGCACATTAATCAGCATTGAAAACAATTGTTAGCTTCAGCCCTAGAATGGTCTATACTTTTCAAGCAAACATGGAATAACATCATCTCTCACCTTCCTCTGACAGCAAGAGTCTCCATTGGAGGTAAATAGGAGTCTTGAGTGTTTTCTGGTGTCAACAGGCTGTTACGCAGAGACAGGAGGGGAATAAAGATGATCCTCTGATGAGGTTATTTCAAGCAAAGTGGCCCCTCAGGGCTCTGTGTTATCATCGTGATTGTTTTCTCAATACATAAAATAAAGTGATACAGAAAAACCTTGTATGGATGTTAAAATATGTCAATGACATGACCCTGGGTGCACTAATTTTACAGCGTATGTTTATCTCGACTTCTCGGACTGGTGTAAATCCGATTCACCAACACCAAGGTTGTTCTTCTCAGTTTGTAAAAATAGTTATTAGAGCTGACTCAGATAGATACAGATAATTATTTTTCTTTCATATGCCACTGTCACAGAAGTAAGGCACACGTTAAAGAAGGCTTAAGTTGACTTTATCTGGTGGATCAACACTATG